CTGCTATAAAGTGGATCCAACCTGTGTGTGGTTTTGGCCTACCGTCTGGGTAAAGCTTTAAAATGCAAAAATGATGATTGTTGAGAGATTTTTTTTTTCGAATTGTTTTCTTTAAAAACTCAGGAAAAGTCGGGTTTATTTTCTATGGCAGAACTATTTTTTAAGAATTTATTAAGAAAGTAATTTTTTGTTTAAGGTTTTTTTCAGAGGTAGCGATTTGTTCTTTCACATAGCTTTAGTATCTTAGATCTGGTTGTATAAAACTTTGATTATCTGAAAAGCTGATTGATGCGGGTAAAAAGTGGATCTAAACACTTTGTGGTTTTGCCTTACCGTCTGCCTTACAGCTTTAAATGAAAAAAGGTGATTTGTGTGAGGTATTTTTTACGAAATTTTGACTTTAAAAACTAGGAAAAAGTCGGGTCTTTTAAGAATTTTCAAAATTTTTACTTTTTTGTTTAATGTTTTTTCAGAGGTTGAGGCTTGTTTTTTCACATAACTTAAGTATCTTAGATCCGGTTGTTATGAACTTTGATTATCTGAAAAGTTTCCTGATACTGCTATAAAATGGATCCAAACTCTGTGTGGTTTTGTCCTACCGTCTGGGTAAAGCTTTGAAATGCAAAATTGTTGATTTTTGTGAGGTATTTTTTACGAAATTTTGAGTTTAAAAACTCGCGAAGATTCGGGTTTATTTTCTATGTCAGAACTTTTTTTTAAGAATTTATTAAGAAAGTAATTTTTTATTTAAAGTTTTTTTCAGAGGTAGCGATTTGTTCTTTCAGATAGCTTAAGTATCTTAGTATTATCTGAAAAGTTTCCTGATACTGCTATAAAATGGATCCAAACTCTGTGTGGTTTTGGCCTACCGTCTGGGTAAAGCTTTGAAATGCAAAATTGTTGATTTTTGTGAGGTATTTTTAGGAAAAGTAATTTTGAGGAAAGTAATTTTTTGTTTATAATTTTTTTTAGAGGTAGCGATTTGTTCTTTCAGATAGCTTAAGTTTCTTAGTATTATCTGAAAAGTTTCCTGATACTGCTATAAAATGGGTCCAAACTCTGAGTGGTTTTGGCCTACCGTCTGGGTAAAGCTTTAAAATGCAAAATGGTTGATTCTTGTGAGGTATTTTTTACGAAATTTTGAGTTTAAAAACTCGGGAAGATTCGGGTTTATTTTCTATAGCAAAACTTTTATTTTAAGAATTTTCAAAGTTTGTACTTTTTTGTTTACGGTTGTTTAGAAGAAGCGGTTTGTTTTTTAACATAACGTAAGTATCTTAGATCTGGTTGTAAAGAACTTTGATTATCTGAAAAGTTAATTGATACTGCTATAAAGTGGATCCAAACTCTGTGTGGCAACAGTTACCCAGCCTACCGTCTGGGTAAAGCTTTGAAATGCAAAAATGTTGATTTTTGTGAGGTATTTTGTACGAAATTTTGACTTTAATTATGGCAGAACTTTTATTTTAAGAATTTTCAGAGTTTGTACTTTTTTGTTTAAGGATTTTTAGAAGTAGCGGATTGTTTTTTAACATATGTTATGATCCGCCTTTTTGCCGCCCTGGTCTATCGTTCCCGGCTAGCTCTCGGGGAAGTCAGGGGTGTTTTCGACCCCATAGCCAGGGGACGGATTTAACAAAAAAAACCTACTTTCTCGCGTGTAACGGACAGATCTAATTTTTCTTACACGCGTCTACGTTGGCACTCTCCTCGGCGGGGTCAGTGCCAAGGCTGGCACGGCCGGAGCACCTCGGGAGGAGCAGAGTGCCCAATCTAAGGGAACACACCGCACACCGCACCGGCGCACCGCACAACGCACCGGCGCCCCGCACACCGCAGCGGCACAGCGCACCATACATCACACTCATCACACACACATCCCACACACATCACACTCATCACACACACAGCACTCCCACTAAAAGCCCGCACGTATTCACATAGAGATAGTCACCCATATTAACCCTATTATTAAAATGATACACAGAAAATAAGCCCCATCGCCCATACATCATACCCACTCATACCCACTACAACCTGATTCGCACTTGGTATATTCATTCCCGGAACACTTAATCAATTCACACTTAGCACCTGTAATTTTTTTTGATTTGGACTTGATAGTTCAAAACCCAAGTCGTCACAAAAAAATAAAATAAAATAAAATACAAAAAAAGAACAACAACCAAAAATATGTTAGAATAGGTTTTCGTTTAGGTCCGTTTAATTAATCCATGTAAGCGGAGTCTATTTTTTCCCCCCGAATACCACCCCCTTTTCCCAACTTATACATATCATGCAATAACTACTAACAAGAGCTCTTTTTAGTTTAAGTTAATCATTTAAATTTGCATACCATTTTCAGCTTTGTTTACATAAAATTTGGGGATGCCACCTCGGGAAAAAGAAAAATAGAGTCTGTGTATTTTTTTTGAATGTTAGTATTTTTTATGTTAGTAATTATTTATGCAAGGTGAATGTCAGTCAAGGGATACAAATGTTTTAGGAATTAAGTAGTTATAAAATTAAAAATAAAAAAATGTTGAAGAATGTTTGAAAACCTGAAAAGAAAATGAAAATGGAGTAGAGCTTACTAGATTGGGTGGGACGAGAGAGGTCGGAAGAGTGGAACCAGATGTTTAATAATCGGGAGCGTGCAACATTTTGAACGCTCATGGATGGGAGGGACTCGCAATGGTCAACGTAGACGCGTGTAAGAAAAATTAGATCTGTCCGTTACACGCGAGAAAGTAGGTTTTTTTTGTTAAATCCGTCCCCTGGCTATCGGGTCGAAAACACCCCTGACTTCCCCGAGAGCTAGCCGGGAACGATAGACCAGGGCGGCAAAAAGGCGGATCATAACAAACGGCGCCCAATTTAAAAACGAGTTGCGCCATAACAAATGGCGCCCAATCTAAAAACGAGTTGCGCCATAACAAATGGCGCCCAAATTGAAACGAAAGGCATCGGTTTTAGACGGGGGGTCCAAGATACCCTGTCTGAGAGTGAGCCGGAGAGAGTAAGCACTCAGCTGGTCCGTGAGCCGGGAATAGACCCCAGCCATAGTAGCCGTTGAGGAGGAGAGTTCAGCAGGGGTCTCCAGAGTTGTGGTCCTGGTGTAGTCAAATGAGCTGCAACCACGTTGTCCGACTCGTGGAGACCTCGAAGGGATTTGACGAGTGGACACCTCGGGTTGTGGTCCGTGCAGTGCTGTGAAGTCAGCAGCATCGTTGTCCGATTCGAGGGGTCCACGGATTGAATCGGAGGAGAGGTTCGGGGTCTCTCGAGTGGTGGTCCGTGCGGTGCCGACAGAGCATCAGCATCGTTGCCCGACTCAAGAGAGCCCAGGAAAACGAAAGAGTAAGAGGAGTTGGCACTCCGTGTGAAAAAAAAAGCAAAAATTAATTGCGAGGGAAAAGGACTGGGTGAGTGCACCGACTGCAACCGTGAGTTGCAGTTGTCCCTCGTCTCGCCCAAAAGATTGTGTAGCTGCAAAGGAAGATTTGTCTTTGTTAACGTTAGTGTTTTGTGTCAAAAGGTCGATTAAGGAGAAAACCAGAAAAAGTTTATTCTCGCGGGCTGAAGATCCTCGCTAGCATTGGATATAGACAATTTTAGAAGTAGGATTAAATACATAGGTCAGCGAAATAGCAAATGTTTGGTAGAGAAATTATTTATTTATTCAGTTTCGTATTTATTTAGGCGAATAAGTGTGTAGGAGTGTTTATTTATTTATTTAGATTTAAAACTATTTATTTATTTAAAACATATATGTGATTTACTCGCATATTTATTTATTGGGCTGTTTATTTATTTATTTCCTCGTCGTCCTTCGGTGATTTATGTTTTTAGGATAGTTTAGATAGTTGAGTTATAGATAGTTCAGTATATAAAATTAAGTGGCCGTGTTTAGGTATATTTAGGCGAAGTAGGAACTGAAGTAGAGAGAGATTGGTGTATGAGTGATCCGGCGGAATTCAAAGGGTCAGGGAAAACGAGGCGAAGTCCGGAGGGTCAGAGAAGGTTCCAGCCATACAGGATGCCGACTACTAGGTCCCAGGACGGGAAAACCGGCACAAGACCAGAAAGGGCGGCGATGGGACTGGAAGATCCGGAAGAGAGGGCTGTAGGAGGCCACCCACAAAGTCACATAGACCTCGAGATACCCAGCGAACTAAGATCGGCCGTAAATGTGGCGATAGCTCAGGCTCAGGAGACGTATCGAGCATCGTTTGGCCAACAGATGGAAGCGCTCAGAGCCTCGATCCAAGCGGATATGCTCGAGTTTATGAAGGGGATAAACGCGGTAGTCGGCTCGCTGAAAGCGGAGCAGACACTCAGCGACGCGGACAAAATAAATAGAGGACCACACAACACCAGTCTGGGAGGAGGTCCGCAGGAGATACCCGCGAACCAACAGGCACAACCGACACACTTGTTCATGGACAACCGGACGTTGGAAGCCGAACAGCGACCGAATATGGAGCAGAGACCCGTTGAGGACTGGCTGTTCAACGTAAGGGGCCCGGGAGCACAGACAAATGTGAATAGGAGTCGTCCCAGTTACGGAGAGGCCAGGCAGGAGCCGGTGCAAATAAGGAGATGGGGACTGAGCTTTGACGGCGATCCGAAGGGGATGCCAGTATCGGAGTTCATATTCCGAGTGGAACATCTACAGACAGTGTACCAAGTAGCATGGGCTGAAGTATTGAAAGCTTTCCACACTCTGGTTACGGGCCATGCTAGAGACTGGTACTGGATGTATGTACGGACCGCAGGAGTGCCGTACTGGCCTAGTCTGAGATATGGACTCCAACAACAGTTTCAAGTGCGGAAGACGGAGTTCGAGCGGGAGCAGGAGCTCAGAGAACGACGGCAGCGACACGGGGAGTCGACAGACCAGTACATCCAGGAGATGCTGTTGTTGAAGTCGAGATTAGTGAATCCATTTTCGGACTACGAGCTGATTAAGATCATCAAGGTAAATGTCAGGGACTCCATCTCGAGGGCGATTTACCCGATGCAGATTCCGAACCTGCAGAAACTGCGGGAAGAGTGTGCCGAGGCCGAGAAGCTGCTGGCGACCCGATGGGCAAGGATTGGTCCAGACTATGGGGGTGCTAGGCGCAGGGAAGATCCCAAAGTGCATGAGGTGGAGGCGGCAAATCACGAGCCGGAGGAGCGGACAGAGGCACTAGAGGCCGTCTATAGGACGAAGGATCCGGGAGGTGACAGGGCACAATTGAAGTGTTGGAATTGTGCGCAGCCAGGACACACCTATTTTGAGTGTGAGTCAGAAGTGCGGAACATATTCTGCTACAAGTGTGGGTCTGCCGGAGTAATCCTCCCTAAATGTCCGAAATGTCGTCCGGGAAACGGGAGAAGGAGCACGATGCAACTGGAGGAGTCGCGTTCCACGAGTAACCAATAGTTCTGCCCTCCAACAACACAGTAGAATTACATACAGAGGACATACCTAAAATTAAGGATAATTATATACATAACGCAATATATAAAATAAACCAAGCGGTGTTACCTGAGGCGAGATGGTCCGAGCGTAAGCCGTTACAGGAAAGACGACAGCGATATAACCAGGCCAGAAGAAGAATACTGGGGGGCCAGGTGGCGGAAATAATCCTAACGAGGTCGACTAGAGCAAAGAGGGCTCGGGACCGGTTCCAGATACGCCAGAGGAAACGACGTGGCGTGTGTGCAGCAATCCGTTCTGCATTAAGCCGGGACGAGAGGCCGTTTGCGCACGTGAGACTGGGCCCGAAGACGCTGATGGGACTGCTCGATACGGGGGCATCAGTGAGCCTGCTGGGAAGAGGGGGATTAGAGATCATTGAGGAATTGAAGCTTAAGCTAAAAGACGTGAAAACAATATCGGTACAAACTGCGGGCGGCACACCTCATCAGATCCTAGGCCATGTGACGGTAGTGATGGCATACAAAGGCCAGAAGCACCCGATAGAGTTATTCTTGTGTCCGTCATTGAAGCAATCACTGTATCTGGGGGTCGATTTCTGGCGAAAGGTTGGATTGGCTCCGCAGATAGTAGGCCTGGAACGAGAAGAGGAATTAAAAGAGATCGAGGCAGAGCTGCTGACGATAAGTAGGCCGACTGAACCTCATAATTTAACCCAGTCGCAGCAAGTACGCATGGAACAGGTGAAAGACAAATTTCGGTGCTTTGACAAGCACGGGATGGGAGGGACTCGCAATGGTCAAAGAAACACCGACTGACCCCGCCGAGGAGAGTGCCAACGTAGACGCGTGTAAGAAAAATTAGATCTGTCTGNGTGCGGAACATATTCTGCTACAAGTGTGGGTTTGCCGGAGTAATCCTCCCTAAATGTCCGAAATGTCGTCCGGGAAACGGGAGAAGGAGCACGATGCAACTGGAGGAGTCGCGTTCAACGAGCAACCAATAGTTCAGAGTTCAGTTCCTCAATACAGAGGACATACCTAAAATTAAGGATAATTATATACATAACGCAATATATAAAATAAACCAAGCGGTGTTACCTGAGGCGAGATGGTCCGAGCGTAAGCCGTTACAGGAAAGACGACAGCGATATAACCAGGCCAGAAGAAGAATACTGGGGGGCCAGGTGGCGGAAATAATCCTAACGAGGTCGACTAGAGCAAAGAGGGCTCGGGACCGGTTCCAGATACGCCAGAGGAAACGACGTGGCGTGTGTGCAGCAATCCGTTCTGCATTAAGCCGGGACGAGAGGCCGTTTGCGCACGTGAGACTGGGCCCGAAGACGCTGATGGGACTGCTCGATACGGGGGCATCAGTGAGCCTGCTGGGAAGAGGGGGATTAGAGATCATTGAGGAATTGAAGCTTAAGCTAAAAGACGTGAAAACAATATCGGTACAAACTGCGGGCGGCACACCTCATCAGATCCTAGGCCATGTGACGGTAGTGATGGCATACAAAGGCCAGAAGCACCCGATAGAGTTATTCTTGTGTCCGTCATTGAAGCAATCACTGTATCTGGGGGTCGATTTCTGGCGAAAGTTTGGATTGGCTCCGCATATAGTAGGCCTGGAACGAGAAGAGGAATTAGAAGAGATCGAGGCAGAGCTGCTGACGAGAAGTAGGCCGACTGAACCTCATAATTTAACCCAGCCGCAGCAAGTACGCATGGAACAGGTGAAAGACAAATTTCGGTGCTTTGACAAGCACGGATTGGGAGGGACTCGCAATGGTCAAAGAAACACCGACTGACCCCGCCGAGGAGAGTGCCAACGTAGACGCGTGTAAGAAAAATTAGATCTGTCCGTTACACGCGAGAAAGTAGGTTTTTTTTTGTTAAATCCGTCCCCTGGCTATCGGGTCGAAAACACCCCTGACTTCCCCGAGAGCTAGCCGGGAACGATAGACCAGGGCGGCAAAAAGGCGGATCATAACACATAACTTAAGTACCTTAGATCTGGTTGTAAAGAACTTTGATTATCTGAAAAGTTGAATGATACTGTTATAAAGTGGCCCAAACTCTGTGTGGTTTTGGCCTACCGTCTGCGTAAACCTTTGAAATGCTATAATGTTGATTTTTGTGAGGTATTTTGTACAAAATTTTGACTTTAAAAATCCGGGTTTTCTTTTCTATGGCAGAACTTTTCTCTTAAGAATTTTCGAAGTTTGTACTTTTTTGTTTAAGGTTTTTTAGAAGTAGCGGTTTGTTTTTTCACATAACTTAAGTATCTTAGATCTGGTTGTTGTGAAATTTGATTATCTGAAAAGTTGCTTGATGCTGCTATGAAGTGGATTGGAACTCTGCGTGGTTTTTGCGTACCGTCTGGGTAAAGCTTTGAAATGCAAAAATGTTGATTTTTGTGAGGTATTTTGTACGAAATTTTGCCTTTAAAAATTCGGGAAAAGTCTGGTTTATTTTCTATGGCAGAACTTTTCTTTTAAGAATTTTCAAAGTTTGTACTTTTTTGTTTAAGGTTTTTTTGAAGTAGCGATTTGTTTTTTCACATAGCTTAAGTATCTTAGATCTTAGATCTTAGATCTTTCACATAGCTTAAGTATCTTAGATCTGGTTGTAAAGAACTTTGATTATCTGAAAAGTTGATTGATACTGCTGTAAAGTGGATCCAAACTCTGTGTGGTTTTGGCCTACCGAGACCCGTTTCGAAAATATACGTTTTTACAACTAAAAACACTCCATAAAACATGCTTTAAACCTGAAAATTTTGAGCCCTTCTTAGCTTTTGAAAAAAAAATTCTTAAATAATTCTTACATTAAAAACTAATTCCAAAAAAGTCTCCATCGCTAAACAAAATTCACATACCTTAAGTATCTTATTTTGGCTGTAAAAAAACTATGATTATCTGAAAAGTGGATTGATACTGCTATAAAATGGAACCAAACTCTGTGTGGGTTTTGCCTACCGTCTGGGTAAAGCTTTGAAATGCAAAAATGTTGATTTTTGTGGGGTATTTTTGTACCAAATTTTGACTTTAAAAATTCGGGAAAAGTCGGGTTTATTTTCTATGGCAGAACTGTTTTTTAAGAACTTATTAAGGAAGTAATTTTAAGTTTCTGGTTTTTTCAGAGGTTGCGGTTTGTTTTTTCACATAGCTTAAGTATCTTAATTTTGGTTGTAAAAAACTTTGATTATCTGAAAAGTTGATTGATACTGCTATAAAATGGATCCAAACTCTGTGTGGTTTTGGCCTACCGTCTGGGTAAAGCTTTGAAATGCAAAAATGTTTATTTTTCTGAGGTATTTTTTTATGAAATTATGACTATAAAAACTCGGGAAGAGTCGGGTTTATTTTCTATGGAAGAACTTTATTTTTGAGAATTTATTAAGAAAGTAATTTTTTGTTTAAGGTTTTTTCAGAGGTAGCGATTTGTTTTTTCACATAACTTAAGTATCTTAGATCTAATTGCAAAAAACTTTGATTATGTGAAAAGTTTATTGATACTGCTATAAATGGATCCAATTTCTGTGTGGTATTGGCCTACCATCTGGGTAAAGCTTTGAAATGCAAAAATGCAGGTTTTTTCAGAGGTAGCGATTTGTTTTTTCACATAACTTAAGTATCTTAGATCTAATTGCAAAAAACTTTGATTATGTGAAAAGTTTATTGATACTGCTATAAATGGATCCAATTTCTGTGTGGTATTGGCCTACCATCTGGGTAAAGCTTTGAAATGCAAAAATGTTGATTTTTGTGAGGCATTTTGTACCAAATTTTGACTTTAAAAATTCGGGAAGGGTCGGGATTATTTTCTATGGCAAAAATTTTCTTTGAAGAATTTTCAAAATATGTACTTTTTTCTTTAAGGTTTTTTAGAAGTTGCGCTTTGTTTTTTCACATAACTTAAGTATCTTAGATCTGGTTTCAAAAAACTTTGAGTATCTGAAAAGTTGATTGACACTGCTATAAAGTGGATCCAAACTCTGTGTGGTTTTGGCCTACCGTCTGGGCAAAGCTTTTATATGCAAAAATGTTGATTTTTGTGAGGTATTTTGTACGAAATTTGGACTTTTAAAACTCGGGAAGAATCGAAAACTTTTTTTTTAAGAATTTATTAAGAATGTAATTTTTGATTAAGGTTTTTTCAGAGGTAGCGATTTGTTTTTTCACATACCTTAAGTATCTTATTTTGGCTGTAAAAAACTATGATTATCTGAAAAGTGGATTGATACTGCTATAAAATGGAACCAAACTCTGTGTAGGTTTTTCCTACCGTCTGGGTAAAGCTTTGAAATGCAAAAATGTTGATTTTTGTGGGGTATTTTTGTACCAAATTTTGACTTTAAAAATTCGGGAAAAGTCGGGTTTATTTTCTATGGCAGAACTTGTTTTTTAAGAACTTATTAAGGATGTCATTTTTATTTTAAGGTTTTTTCAGAGGTTGCAGTTTGTTTTTTCACATAACTTAAGTATCTTAATTTTGGTTGCAAAAAACTTTGATTATCTAAAAAGTTGATTGATACTGCTATAAAATGGATCCAAACTCTGTGTGGTTTTGTCCTACCGTCTGGGTAAAGCCTTGAAATGCAAAAATGTTGATTTTTGTGAGGTATTTTGTACGAAATTTTGACTTTAAGAATTCGGGAAAAGTCGGGTTTATTTTCTATGGCAGAACTTTTTTTTAAGAGATTATTAAGAAAGTAATTTTTAGTTTAAGGTTTTTTCAGAGGTTGCGGTTTGTTTTTTTTACATAACTTAAATATCTAAGATCTGGTTGTAAAGAACTTTGATTGTCTGAAAAGTTAATTGATACTGCTGTAAAGTGGATACAAACTCTGTGTGGTTTTGGGCTACCGTCTGGGTACAGCTTTAAAATGCAAAAATGTTGATTTTTGTGAGGTATTTTTTATGAAATTATGACTATAAAAACTCGGGAAGAGTCGGGTTTATTTTCTATGGAAGAACTTTATTTTTGAGAATTTATTAAGAAAGTAATTTTTTGTTTAAGGTTTTTTCAGAGGTAGCGATTTGTTTTTTCACATAAATTAAGTATCTTAGATCTAATTGCAAAAAATTTTGATTATGTGAAAAGTTTATTGAAACTGCTATAAATGGATCCAAACTTTGTGTGGATTTGGCCTACCGTCTGGGTAAAGCTTTGAAATGCAAAAATGTTTATTTTTCTGAGGTATTTTTTATGAAATTATGACTATAAAAACTCGGGAAGAGTCGGGTTTATTTTCTATGGAAGAACTTTATTTTTGAGAATTTATTAAGAAAGTAATTTTTTGTTTAATGTTTTTTCAGAGGTAGCGATTTGTTTTTTCACATAACTTAAGTATCTTAGATCTAATTGCAAAAAACTTTGATTATGTAAAAAGTTTATTGATACTGCTATAAATGGATCCAAACTCTGTGTGGTTTTGGCCTACCGTCTGGGTAATGCATTGAAATGCAAAAATGTTGATTGTTGTGAGATTTCTTTTTTTCGAAATTTTGACTTTAAAAACTCGGGAAAAGTCGGGTGTATTTTCTATGGCAGAACTTGTTTTTTTAAGAACTTATTAAGGATGTAATTTTTATTTTAAGGTTTTTTCAGAGGTTACAGTTTGTTTTTTCACATAACTTAAGTATCTTAATTTTGGTTGCAAAAAACTTTGATTATCTGAAAAGTTGATTGATACTGCTATAAAATGGACCCAAACTCTGTGTGGTTTTGGCCTACCGTCTGGGTAAAGCTTTGAAATGCCAAAATGTTGATTTTTGTGAGATATTTTTTACGAATTTTTGACTTTAAAAACTCGGGAAAAGTCGGGTTTATTTTCTATGGCAGAACTTGTTTTTTTAGGAACTTATTAAGGATGTAATTTTTAGTTTAAGGTTTTTTCAGAGGTTGCGGTTTGTTTTTTCACATAAATTAAGTATCTAGGATCTGGTTGCAAAAAACGTTGATTATCTAAAAAGTTGATTGATACTGCTATAAAATGGATCCAAACTCTGTGTGGTTTTGGCCTACCGTCTGGGTAAAGCTTTGAAATGCAAAAATGTTGATTTTTGTGAGGTATTTTGTACGAAATGTTCACTTTAAAAACTCGGGAAAAGTCGGGTTTATTTTCTATGACAGAATTTGTTTTTGAGAATTTATTAAGAAAGTAATTTTTTGTTTAAGGTTTTTTCAGAGGTAGCGATTTGTTTTTTCACATAACTTAAGTATCTTAGATCTAATTGCAAAAAACTTTGATTATGTGAAAAGTTTATTGATACTGCTATAAATGGATCCAAACTCTGTGTGGTTTTGGCCTACCGTCTGGGTAATGCATTGAAATGCAAAAATGTTGATTGTTGTGAGATTTCTTTTTTCTCGAAATTTTGACTTTAAAAACTCGGGAAAAGTCGGGTTTATTTTCTATGGCAGAATTTGTTTTTTTAAGAACTTATTAAGGATGTAATTTTTATTTTAAGGTTTTTTCAGAGGTTACAGTTTGTTTTTTCACATAACTTAAGTATCTTAATTTTGGTTGCAAAAAACTATGATTATCTAAAAAGTTGATTGATACTGCTATAAAATGGATCCAAACTCTGTGTGGTTTTGTCCTACCGTCTGGGTAAAGCCTTGAAATGCAAAAATGTTTATTTTTCTGAGGTATTTTTTATGAAATTATGACTAAAAAAACTCGGGAAGAGTCGGG